GGACGCGCAGCGCTCGCCAACGCTTCGGGGCCCGCCAACGCCTCGGACCCCGCCTGGGACTTTGCCTCTGCTCTCTTCTTTGCCAGCACACTGGTCACCACCGTGGGTAGGTGAGCGCCGCCCCAGTCCCCAAACTAGCGAGAACCCACCCCCAGGGGCACTCGGTAGCCCTCAGGAGGTAACCTTGTCCCAGCAGATCACTCCAGTCCGGTCTGGGCCTGGGATCCCCTCAAAACCCCTGGAGGAAAATCCGGGATCCACAGTCGTGGGATCTGCCTCCCTCGGGAAGCCCCCAGCCAAGCCTCTCCTCCCCGCAGGAAAACACCCAGTTCTCCAGGACGAGGGCTGTACTCATACCTGCCAGGGAGCATCTGGGACATTGTTCCTCTGCCTCACCCCTTGGAGACATGGCCCTTCCAGGCCCCTCTGGGCCTAGACTGCACTCAGAAACCTCCAGCGAGGACCTGGGACCCTGGGCCTGAGACCCTCACCCTCTCTGGACTCGGACCTCAGCCACCCAAGACTCTGGTCTCAGAATGCCACCCCCTCAAACAATGTCTCCTGACTGACCAGATAGGTCTTTCCTGGAAGCCTTTCGGGAAGCCCTATCCCAACCTCCTCCTGACTCTGGTGCCCAGAGAGAACCCTGAATCTCCAGACCCCCTCAGGGTGCCATCACTAAACACCTTACTGCCAGTAGAGATCCCTCAGCCAGGACCTGGAGCCTCCCTCTGAGAGGGCTCCTCCTCTGGATCATGACCATTACCCTGAAAGGGGCCCTGCCTGCAGTAGCAGGTGGCCTTTGCCTCTCTCATACTCATACTCCCCAGCAGGTAAGCCCTGACTCCAGATACAGGACCCCTCTCCATGTACCCCACTCCATCTTGACATCTCCCTTGTATCGGGGAGCCCTCAATGCAGAGTTTTCTCCCAATAGAGACACTTTGGGTTTCTCTGGACCTGGAATTCCATTTTAGCAGCCCCTAACTATGGATGTATGAGAGACAACCATCGTGGAGGGAGCTAGATTATCCTCCAGAAGCCCCCCAGCCAGGACTCCCTCCCCTCCAATCTCAAAACTGGCTCTAGCAAAACCCCTACTGCTTTCCAAACCAGGATCTCCCCATGGGGCCTCTTTGAACCTGAGAACCCCTAGTTGAGACTCATCACTCTCAGCAAAAACCCCAGAACCACCTGAACCTTCTATCAGGGACACCAGTGCCCTCCACACACACTATCATTGAGAGCAGAATCCCCACCACACACACACACACACACACACACACACACCATCACACGATACCAGCCCAGGAACTCTGCTCTCTGCACCTGCTACCCCTGCTCAACCTGGATTTCCCAAGAAAGGGAATCTCCTAGGCTCTAGGAAACGCTCCAATCCCTAAACCCGCAGCTGGGAACTCCCTGTTTAACACCGCCACAGCCTGCTTTGGACCAAGGATACTCCAGGCCCCCTGTACCCCAGAGCCCTCCCCAGTGTCCAGTCAAAACCATTACCACTTTCCACCCTTGGACCCGAGACACCCACCCTGTCCCATCATCTCCTTAGCATTGTCTACCTTCATCATGTCCTCTCAGGCATCCTCAGGCTCATAATCCCCCTCCGCCTGAGGAATCCCCTCCCAGTCCCATTTGTAATCCAGAAAATGCCCCCACCGGGGCCTGTCACCTTTCCTCTGGACCCAGGATCCTTTTCAAACCAGAAACCAACCTCCTCAGGTAGGACCAACCCCCTCCCCGCAGTCCTACCCGGGACATCCCTTCCCACCTCAGCACTTGCAGACCTGGGAAATCCCTGTTGTCAAGGCTCTGCTGGTCCTTTCACATCCCCTCCCCAAAACTCCCTCTTCCTCTCTTTGCTTGGAATTTGGCCTGGGGGTGAGGAGAGATGGGGGCTGGGGCAGGCCTAGCAGACTCCTAACTCCTCCTCCCTGCCTGCAGTAGCAGGTGGCCTTTGCCTTTGGTGCCCCATTGTGTGGACCAGCAAACCAAGTCCATTGTTAGCAGAGCTGGATGCTCCTTTTATACTCTGTTCCGCTGGCTGGGCCTGCCTGACCTGCTCCTGGGCTTCACTGGGTCACATGAGTGTCTCCATCAACCTCCTCCCAGATCCTGGCTTCTGAGAAGTTGTCCCAAGAGGACAGATGAAGAAGCCAAACTCAAGGCATGCACAGCCTGGGTTCGGATTTCTGCTCAGCCCGCTGCTCAACTCTAGGCCTCAGTGTCCTCCCACATCTGTAAAATGGGAATAATAACACTCCCCACTTCACAGTAATAATAAAACCTGGTAGAGGAGTTGCCACATATGGGCTTTAACTCAATCAGCACAACAGCCTTGTAAAGCCGGTACCATTAGTGGCCCTATTTTTAAAAATAAATACACTGTATTTTTATTGATTTCAGGGAGAGGGAGAGAGAGAAAGACATCAATGATGGAGAGAATCACCAACTGGCTACCTCCCACACAGTCCCTTGGTGGGGGGCCGAGCCTGCAACCCAGGCACCTGCTCCAACTGGAATTGAACCCTGACCTCCTGGTTTATGAGTAGACCCTCAACCACTGAGCCACATGGGCTGGGTCTGGCCCTATTTTTTTAGCAATAGAAACTGAGGTCCAGAGAAGTTGGACAACTTGTCCAAGGTCACACAACTAGGAAGGTGTAGAGTAGAAATTTGAACCAAGGCGATCAGGCCTTAGAGTCCCATGCTCTTAACCAATACACTGCACTACCTCTGAAGCCTGCATGAAGAGGAGTGATGTGTCTATACTGAAATGAAAAATTACTCAGATACTTGTTAAAAATGGTAAGTTGTTGCAATAAGGGAGCGAGATTGAACTCAATTCTGAATATAACAAAGACAGCTGGAGATAGAGAGCAGAGTGAGGGGATCAGTGGGTGGGAAATTATTAAGAGAGAGGGGATTCTTATTTACTGGCTTAATGGGATTGTTGCAAAAGGCCAAGACCTCAGCTCTCAAAGGTGGAGAATAAGGAATGTGATCAGATATCAAGAGTGGAGGAATCCTCCCTAAACTGACAGCATTCTTGCTAAAACGGCCTAGTCAAGAGGAGCCTAACTAAAGTTTGGTCAGGAGGAAGTCTTTGTAAGTTTGAAGGGTTGGGGATAATAACAGGTTTTCTGTGCCTCAGTTTTCATTGTTATTGGTGGGAAAGCCTGGAGCTCTGAATGTGTCTGAGAAATGAAAAGCCAAGTCTTTCAGAGAGACTTCTTCCACGGCACCTCTGGTCTTGTCAGGCCCGAGCCCTCTGAGAAAGGCCTGGGGCCTGGAATTGATCCAGGCAGACTTGCTCCAGTTGAGGCCAGAGATGGCGGGGTCAGCACCCCGGAAGTGAGCATGACTGCCATGGTAACTCTTTTTATGTCTTGCAATCCACCCTGGTAGGGTTATTACTATTGCATTTGAAGAAGACATTTTTTTATGAGCCCATTTTGCAGGACTCTGAGGAAAGTCATTGGGCCAAGGTCATGTAGGGAATAAATGGCAAAAAACTGATTTGAACTTTGCTCTTTGAGGTAGCAAGTTGAGACTCAGATTATTTGCATACCTGCCATTTCAGCTGACTGCTGGAGTTTCTCCATTAAAACCTTTGTATTAATGAGGGTTGGAGCCATAAATGAAAAACCTCAAATAATAGCTGCGTAAATAAGATGGAAATCTATTTCTGGAATGATGCTGCATGGTCAGAGCGCCTCCATAACTCTCGATGCAGGGTTTCCATCCCGAGGTCACGTCATGGTCCAAGGTGGCTGCTCAGCTCCTGCCTTTCTGTCTGTATTTCAGCCAGCGGGAAGAAAGAAGAAAGAAGGGGATAGGCATCTCCCTTTCTTTTATGGCTGTGTGTGTGTGTGTGTGTGTGTGTGTGTGTTTTCTTTGTTGTTGTTAATCCTCACCCTAGGGAGAGGGAGGGAAAGAGCCAGAGAGAGAGAAACATTGACCGATTGCCTCCTGCACATGCGCCCTTGGCCAGAATCAAGCCTGAAACCCTTCAGTCCACGGCTGACACTTTAACCACTGAGCAACCGGCTAGGGTGGCACCTCCCTCTCTTTAAGGACACTTCTTGGAACTTGTTTGCTTCTTTCATGTATGCCTCATTGGTCAGAAATTATTCTAATTACACCTAGCTGCATCTTATTTGCGCAATTATTATTTGAGGTTTTTCATTATGGCTCCAGCCTTCATTAATACAAAGGTTTTAATGGAGAAACCCCATTAAAGAGGGAATGTCTTTATTCCAGGTGGCCATGTGTACAGCGAAAGCCAGAGAGTCTTTTTTCCCCCCATTTTTTTATTATGGTAAAATACACATAAAATTTACCATTTTTAATTGTACACTTCAGGGATATTAGGTACATTTACATTGTTGTGCAATCGTTACCACCATTCATCTCTAGAACAATTTTCATCTTGCAAAACTGAAACTCTACCCTTAAACACCAACTCCCCATGTGCCCTCTCCCCAGCTCCTGGCAACCACCGTTCTACTTGTGTCTCTGATTTTGACTCCTCTAAATACTTCATATAAGTGGAATCATACAGTATTTGTCTTTCTTCGACTAGCTTTTCTCATTTAGCATAATGTCCTCAAGGTTCATCCATGTTGTAGCATGTATCCGAGTTTCCTTCCTTCATAAGGCTGAATAATACTCCATTGTATATATTTACATTTTGTTTACCCATTCATCCATCGATGGACACTTGGCTGTGAAGAATGCTGCTATGAGCATGGGTATACAGGAATCTCTTCCAGCCCTTACTCTCAATTTTTTGAGTATATAAAAAATCAGATCCCTTTGTATGGGAGATGTGTTCATCTGCACGATTCCACATGTTATTTTTGATCAGAGGGCTGGATCTGTAGTCTTTTGGGCTAAAAACATTTGACCTCAACATTAACCAGGCCCCTTATCACCCCCATCATATCTCTGACCTTTTGGGTTGATTTATTTGGGAAATAAAGATATTTTAAATTATACATTAAAACAGTGAGCCAGTCTCACTTACACCTGAATCCCCCTGTATCATGTTACAGTTTGCAGAACTCACACCCATGGTCCTGTGGTCCTGTGTTTTCACGGCCCTCCAGGAGGTCACTGGGGCTTGTCACACCCGTTTTAGAGTGGAGGGAGCCAGACTTGAGCCTGCACCCTTCATTTATTATTTCGACTATTGACTGAGTGCCCACTCTGTGCCTGATACCAGGACTATAGCATTGAACAAAGCAAACAGAAGCCCCTGCCCTCCTGAGATGGCACCCGAATGGGGGAGACAGAGAGTAGCCAAATAAGTAAATCATATAGTTTGTTAGACAGTGTTAAGTGCTATGAAAACAAACCAAAAAAGTTGGGTGAGAAGGTGTAAAAATTTAAAATAAGGTGGTTAGACCTAGTCGGTTTAACTCAGTGGATAGAGCATCAGCCCACAGATTGAAGGGTTCCATTCCCATCAAGGGCAGGTTGCCGGCTCCACCAGCCCCAGTAGGGGCACATTCAGGAGGCAACCAATGGATGTGTCTCTTTCACATAGATGGCGCTCTCTCTGTGTATCTCTCCCCTTCCCTTCCACTCTCTCTAAATAAATCAATGGAAAAATATCCTCAGGTGAGGATTACAACAACAAAATAAAGGTGGTCAGGGAAGGCCTCATGAGAAGGTGATGTTTGAACAAAGACCTGGAGAAGAAGGGAGCCCTGTGAAAACCTGATGGAAGGTGTTCCACAGGGAAAGAACAGATAGTGCAAAGGCCCTGAGGTGGGAGTGTATTTCCCTGCTGGATTGTGTGGGTCCTGAGGGTCATGATGAGGACTTTGTCCTTCCTCCTGAGTGGGATGGAGCCACCAGGGGGCTCTGAGCGGGGGAGGGACATGACTTACACTGGTGTTCACAGTGCCCCTCTGGCTGCGTGGCGGGAACAGACTGAAGGCAAGGGTGGAGGTGGAGGAGGGAGGCCAGGGAGGAGACTACGGGGTAGACATGAAGGTGGGGTGGTGTGAAGTGGATGGACTTGGGATCTACTTGAAATTTGAGACAATGGGATTCACTGACAGAAAGTGGTTGTGAGTGATAAGGAAGTCAAGGGTGACCAGAAATGAAAGAATGGGGGGCAAGTTCAAGGGTAACATTAGGTCTTGGCTTAGGATGGCCACAGACCCCAAGTAGGTGCCAAGTGGGCAGAAGGATTTCCCTGTTACTTCCACAGGCTATGGGTACACAACACCGCTGACTGATGCGGGCAAGGCCTTTTCCATTGTCTTTGCGCTCCTGGGCGTGCCGGCCACCATGTTGCTGCTGACTGCCTCCGCCCAGCGCCTGTCACTGCTGCTGAGCCATGCACCCTTGTCCTGGCTGAGCATACGCTGGGGCTGGGACTCCCGGCGGTTGGCCCGCTGGCACCTGGTGGTTCTGCTGGGGATCATGGTGACCACCTGCTTCCTGGTGCCCGCCGCAATCTTTGCCCACCTTGAGGAGGCCTGGAGCTTCTTGGATGCCTTCTACTTCTGCTTCATCTCTTTGTCCACCATTGGCCTGGGTGACTATGTGCCCGGTGAAGCCCCCGGCCAGCCCTACCGGGCCCTCTACAAGGTGCTGGTCACAGGTGAGTAGGGTGGCTGGCTCAGGACCCAGGGCACAGCCTTGTCGTGGAGGGTACAAGGGGAACCTGGCCTGTCTTAGGGGGAAGTTGAGGGTCACAGCCCCACCCTGGGCCTGCCAAGGTTCTGAGTTCACCCATGGCCCCTCTGCCGTCTTTGCAGCCTACCTCTTCCTGGGTCTGATCGCCATGGTTTTGGTGCTGCAGACTGTCCGGCATGTGTCTGACCTTCATGGCCTCACAGAGCTCATCCTGCTGCCCAGTCCACGCCCTGCCGGCTTCCATGAGGATGAGGATGATCGGGTGGACATTCTGGGTCCCCAGTCAGAACCACACCAGCAACTCACCACCAGCTCCCACACCAACTACGCCTCCATCCCCAGGTAGCTGGGGCAGGCACCTTGAGACTGGATGGACCTAGCCTGCGGCTGAGGGACCATGTGACTGGAACGGACATACTAGACCCTCGTGGGCACATGCCAGGGCTCATGAGAGCACTGTCACCAGCTGTCCATCCTTTGTCGTACCTGTCCTGGGCTCCCCAAGCGCCTGCATTGCTTTGTTCTCCTGGCTCCTTCCCTCATCTCCCCCACATTTAGTGCTTCTTTGGCTTTCTCACCGTCTCTGTCTTTCCCTCTCAACATCTCTTTTTTTCTTACTCTTTTATTCCATCTACTTCTCTCAGCAACTCACCATCTACAGTTCTACCAGGCTCTGGGCTCAGGTATCATTTCAGGCACTAGATCAGTCACTACACCTTGGGCAAGTGACAGCCCTTTCTGAGCCCTCATTTTCTTATCTGTCCAGTGGAAAGAACACAGGGTGGGGCAAAAGTAGGTTTACAGTTGTTCATATGGAAAATAATACAATAATTAATAAATAATACAAGAATAAACTGTTTCGTGTACTCACAACTGTAAACCTACTTTTGCCCCACCCTGTATATTAATTCATCCCAAACTCTTCTATGTTGGGCATTGTTAGTGATGTAGCTGGGCCCTGTTCTCCTGGTGCTCATAGTCTAGTAACTTAGACAGACGTCTCCACACAATGAGCCCAAAACTGGCAGGACTTTAATAGCAGAGGCAGAGTGGTCAGCGGTGTGATGGAGAAAACATGGAATGCACCCAATATAACTTGGAAGGTCAGGGAGGACTTCCTGGAGGAAGGGGCAACTGAACTCACTCCTGCAATATGAGTAGTAGTCAAGGGAAGAAGGTGTAACTGATTTTCCTCAGGTGTCTCCAGGGAGCAAGACCCATGCAGAGAGCCCTGGGGTAGGCCTGGGTCCTAGAGTCTTCCTCAGCAGGAAACAGGATCCCAGTCTGGATCCGAATGGCACAGAAGGCACTGTTCTTAGCCACAGCACTACTGTAACAGCTGTTCCCATTTGTGGAGCACTAAATGCATATTCTGTGAGCTTTGGAGCCAGCCTCCTTGGGCTCAAATCCCAACTCAGTTGCATACTGCCCATCTCCTCGGGCAGTCACTTCCCCGGTGATTCTCAGGTCCCTCATCTGTAAAATGGCAATAATAATAGTACTTCACAAGATGACTTCACAGAGCCTGCCATGTTATTCTGTGATGCTTTGACCAGGCCCTGTTCTGGGTAATTTACATGAGAAAATATAATATTATCCTCTCTCCACAGATGAGGAAACTGAGGCATGGGAGGGGCGTTCCTTGTTTTAGACACAGAATTAGGAAGTAATTGATTTCCTGTCTGTCCCTGCCCCCTGCCCAATGATACATCAGCAATAGCACTTACACCAAAGGCCCATCTACTGAGCTGTTACCTCTCCCAAGCCCTATGAAGGTGACAAGGGATGGGCATCTGAGCCAGGTCTTGACAGACAAATGGGAAGGGCATTCCAGACAGAAGGAACCATGTATGCAAAGGCCTGGAGGTAGGAAAGCGTGTTAGACATCAGCTTCTGTGACAAGTGTGGAGTGAATGGGGGAAGGATAGTGGTGTAGTTGACATGGGCCCCTCTTAAGTGTCTTTAAATGATCAGCTTGGGAAACAGCTTTTTTCTTGAGGACACTAGAGAATCATGGCAGGGTTTCTACCAGAACAGGGTCATGGTTGGGTTTGTGCCTTAAGAAATCCCCCAGCTTTTCTGTGGATGTAGATGAGAGGGGGAGACAAAAGCTGGGTGCCCAGGGAAGGCTATGGCAGGAACAAAGCAGAAGATCATGGCGCTGGACAGAGCCAACAGGAGGGGGTACAGGTGGAAGGATGCTCAGAAGGCCAAGTGGACAGGCCATAGGCCTTATATACTTGGGGTGGGGAACAAGGCCATGGAAAGGTGCAAGGGATGGTCAACTGCAATCGAGATGGGGGCCTTGGAGAAAGAACAGGTTTGAGGGAAGATGCTGAGACTAGTTTGGAACATGGTGAGTGTGAGGGGCTAAAGACACCCAGAGGAAGATATCAGGAGGCCACAGAGCCCCCAGGGCTGGGGCTCAGAGTAGTTGAGGCTGGAGACAGATGCTGGAACCAAGGCCATGAGGTAGGAGTGAAGAGAAGACCAGCCTTGAGAAATCAGCCTAAGGATATTTATATTTTGTATCAGTAAGGAAAGATTTGGGCAGTGGGTAACAAAATCCAGAATGGCACGAGGTGAAACAATGAGATGAGTGTATATTGCACATCACCAGGGTTGGGGAGAGCTCTAGGCATGATACAGTGACAGTTCCAGGAGAGTCTTGGACCCCAGGTTCCCTCTCTGCTCTGCCACCCTCAGCTGAATGTTTGGCTCCCACATGGACTCCCCTTATGGCCCCAAAGTGGCTGCTGCAGGCCCAGGCATCACAAGCAGATGTGGTAATTTTTAGTACAAGAAGAGAGTGGCATCTTTTTCCATGCTGTCTCTGGAATCAAGAAAATCTTTTCCTGAAGCCTCCCAGCAGACTTCCTCTTCCATCTCATTGGCCAAAATTGCCTCACATGCCCATCCTGAGCCAATCATTGGCTTGAGGAATTTAGGATTAGCTTAGATTCTTCAGGATTCCCCCTGTTCCCCAGAACTGAGGCTGGGGGTAAGGTTTCAGCTTGGAGGCTGGTGAATACTTGAATGAAATTGGGCTTCTATTAGAAAGGCCGAAGAGTGGGAGGATGGGTAGATATTGATTAACAAATCAGCCAAGGCCATCATGTATAATTATGCATGTTGGGACCTACATAAGCGATGCCTGACTGGCAGGGTGGACACAAATAGGGTCTGAAGTTCAAGGCTAAATATGCCAAAAGGAGGCTTCTTTTTCTAAGTAAAGGCCCCATATGGTGAGCAGTGTCCCTTCAACCAATGTCCTCATACTAGAGAGAAGAGTTTACAAAGAAGACAGAAAAGGAGTTCCAGAGAGGAGTAGGAAAACCAGGAGGGTGGGGAGTATTGGTAAGAGAAGGAGAGTATTTTAGGAAGGGAGAAGTCAACATTGTCAAATCATGCTAAAAAGGCACACAAGATTGTTTTAATAATAGTAATAGAAAACACATATAGGATTTACTATGAGCTAGGCACTGCTCCAAGCCCTTGATACATAATTTATTTACCCCTCTTATCAACTGTTAGATACATTCTCACCACATTTTATAGTTGAGGAAAGGAGGCCCAGAGAGATCAAATAATTTGTCCAAGGTCACACAGAAGTGCAAAATGGATTTGAGCAAGGTTTTGATTGGTCACCTTGTCCCATGGGAGTTCAGAAACACCTACTGTCGAGCTCTTTCTCAGTCTCACAGTCTTCTGTCTCCTCACCATGCTAAAGTCAGCAGCTCGCGGGGAGGCAGTTGTTTCTCCCCTTCTTGAAAAAGAAACCAGACCTTGTTCAGTTGAAGACATTTTTAAAAAGGTGCATGCCGCCCTAGCTGGCTTGGCTCAGTGGATAGAGCTTCAACCTGCAGACTGAAGGGTCCTGGGTCTGGAGGGTCCTGGGTTCAATTCCAGTCAAGGGCACATGCCCGGGTTGTAGGCTCGACTCCCAGTAGGCAATGGTTTTCAACCTTCCTAATGCCGCGACCCTTTAATACAGTTCCTCATGTTGTGGTGACCCCCCAACATAAAATTATTTTCGTTGCTACTTCATAACTGTAATTTCGCTATTGTTATGAATCATAATGTGATATGCAGGATGTACTTTCATTGTTACAAATTGAACATAATTAAAGCATAGTGATTAATCACAAAAACAATATGTAATTATATATGTGTTTTCCGATGGTCTTAGGCGGTCCCTGTGAAAGGGTCATTCGACCCCCAGAGGGTCACGACCCACAGGTTGGCGACCCACAGGTTGAGAACCGCTGCAGTAGGGGTTGTGCAGGAGGCAGCAGATCAAGGATTCTTTCTCATCATTGATATTTCTATCCCTCTTCCCCCTCTCCCTTCCTCTCTTAAATCAACAAAAAAATATTTTTTAAAAAGGTGCATGCTAAAAATTCAAAAGATACAAAAGAGTATACAGTGGAAAGTCAATCTTTCTCCAGCACTCAGGCTGTGTTGACCGATTTCTCAGACAAATACGAGCAATATACATGTGTGTCAGTGTCTTTCACTCTACACAAATGGTACCTAGTGTGATTCTGGAGGCAGAGTCCCTGGACAGAAATCAGAACTCTACCACTCCCAATCAGGGCAGGTGATTTCGCCTCCCTGTGCCTGAGTTTGCCAATCTGTGAAATGGGAGGATAATGGCACCTACCTCATGGGCTTGTTAGAGAATTAAGCAATTTATTATCTGTAAAGCTCTTAGAACAGTGTCTGGTATTCATTAAAATGTTAGCTAATCATTATCATTTCTGCACTTTTTATATGTTATGTATAATTTTATATACTTTTTCTAATATTCTCATTTCTGCACCTTGATTTTTTTTCCCCACCAACCCAGTGTAATTCATAGGTCATCCCAGAGACACACAAGTAGGTCTTAAATCCTTTCTAATTTCTGCAGTGCCTCCTCTAGGACACACATCCTATAAATTATTCCAACATCTCCTTAATGGACATGTGGGTGGTTGGCAGTTTCTGGCATAAAGGATGTTGCAGGGTGTACCTTTGTATCAAGGTCTAACAGAGGCACCCCCCATGGGGCTGTATTTCTGAGCTGGGTACCATGAGAAGACACCAGTCTCTCTGATTCTGCTCAGGAATCTAGAAGGGCTCAGGTACACAGCTGCTGAGTTTTCTCTCTCAGATGAAGTCATTCTTCCCTGGCCTGTGGGTGGGCTAGGGGCGGGAGCCTACACATCCATCAACTGTTCATTTACCTAGAACACTTATTCTGTGTTGGACAGAGTTGGGAACAACAGTGACAGAAAGCCCTAGGCCCTGTCATCTAAAGTCTGTGATTTTGTGGGAAACAAAGACCGGTTCCCAGATTGTCATGTTCTGGTGTGGTCAGGGGAGGGATAGGGACTGGCCATGTATCACAAGACCCCAGGGAAGGAAAGTGTTCAGCCACCGACAAAGTAGAGAAAAGTGTTTCAGAAGGTGCCGCAGCATGTGCAGTCTGGAGAGAGAACACGCCTCACCCAGGAATTCAAGTTGCTCTGTGTAACTAGGCTGTGGGCTACACACACCTATAGGGAGAAAAGAGAAGAGCTGGATAGGAAGGCCAACAGGCAGGGTTCTGGAAACCAACTTTGGAGGTTTCCCCGAAGTTCCAGGGAGTCATGAAAGGTTTTAGAGCACTGGTTCCCAAGGTGTGTGGGCCCAAACCGTCAGTATCAGCGTCACCTGGGAGGGGGGGCGCCAAAGTTTACCACCTAAAAATATGCTTTTGGAGGTGCTGATTATTTCAAGCTGGTTATTTTTGACAAGAGATAGAGGACCTGCTCCTGACAGGAGCTATCGTCAGAGATAACTACAATTCAATAGGGACCAGGTGTGATAGCAGGGGGGACCCTGGAAAAGCTTAATTGACCAGAGTCCTCTCTGTGTCCCATTGTTAAACAAGGCTCAGCAAACATTTACTTACAGAACATCTGCTTTTCTATCTCCACGTGAATTGCCTTCCTGCCTTAGAATTGGCAAACCACAACCCCCTTAGCTCCAGAATGGCATATAAACCTCAACTGCCCCAAGCCTCTTTGGGTCTGCTGTTCTATGGCACCCCTGCATGTGCATCTGAAATAAACTTGTGACATTTTTCTCCTGATAACCTGTCTAATATTAGTCTAATCATAAGTCCAGAAGAACTTAGAGAGGTGGGAGGAAATTGTATTTTCCTGCTTCCACACCTGGAAACTTGCTAGAAGTACCACATTTTCAGACCCCACCTCAGACCTACTGAATCAAAAACTCAGGAGGTGGATCCCAACAACCTGTTTGAACAAGCTCTTCTGGCAAGTCTAATACACACTAAAGTTGGAAAACTACTGGTTTAGCGTAAAGTCAGCTTTGCAGTTCATCAAGAAGTAATGGTCTGCCTGGTGGCTGAGTTGATTGGAGCGTCTTCCACACATCAAAAGGGTTGCAGGTTCAATTGCCGGTCAGGGCACATACCTAGGTTTCAGGTTCACTCCCAGTGAGGTAGCCTAAGGGAGGCAACCAACCCATGTTTCTCTCTAATATGGATGTCTCCCCTCTCTCTCTCTCTCAAATCAATAATAATCTATATATAAAAGCCAAGCGACCGAACAGCAGAACGACCAGAATGACCAGTGGCTATGACACAAACTGCGGCCCAACTGGCCGATGGTGGAGTGGCCCCTCCCCCCTGTGGTCCCCCACCCGACCCTGATCAGTGATTCTAAGTAAGTAAACGCTCTCCAGCCTTCATAGACCAGGCACCTGAATGATGAGTGATCAGGAGGAAAACTGCTCACGGTCTGGACCATCAGTCAGGTGTCCAGGAGAGGTGCCCAGCCAACCACCATCTTCCCCGCCCCCGACTGCCCCCCACCCCAATTGGGGGCAGGTGGCAGGACCCCATGCATGGGGCCTCTAGTAATAATAATAATAATAATAATAATAATAAAACATCCTCGGGTGAGGATTTAAAAAAGTCATGGACTGAATCCTTGTTAGGCATCAGGATATAAATGGAAATTGTTAACCTGAATATTTATTTACTTGTGCCAGGCACTCTTCCGGTGTCACCTTATTGACTTCCCACAATAACTCTACACGATGGCTGCCTTTGTTCTGTTTTGTTGAGGAGAGTGTTAAACTGCAGTCAGATTCATTCCCACAAGTAGACCAAACTCTTTTTAGGTGTAGCATCTACACTAATAAAAGAGAAACATGGTAATTGGCGTACGACCGCTACCCTTTTCATTGGCTAATCAGTGTGTATATGCAAATTAACTGTCAGCCAAGATGGCGGCCGGCAGCCAGGCACTGAAGCGGAGGAAACCTTTCCCCGCTTGCCTTGCAGGCCTCTGAGCCTGCAGTTTGAACATTGTAACATTTATAGAAGCTAAAAAAAAAAACAGAAGAAAGCTTTCAGCGAGCTGGGATCTCAGAGCTGGAGTCAGAGCTGCAGTTATACATTGTTTCGAACCGAAACAAACCAGATACCTACTTTCAGCAGCGGAGGCCTAAGAGCTGGAGCCTCAGAGCTAAAGCTGGCCCAGAATAAAAAAA